TGACGAGGAGAAGGCTATGTATCGCTACTTGGACTTCAGGGACTCGGAGGCATCGGTAGGTGAACCCTTTAAAAACTGAACTTGTTCTATCCGGCTTCTTGACTCTCTTCCCACATTCCCACGTTTCCGGTCACGTGAAGTTCACGTTGGTAATGCATTGATCGAGAAGGCCTGGGAAGACGCTAAACAGGAAAACAGGAATCGCAAGAATATAACATTCAACGTTTAAATACAACAGTACCTTTTCGAAGATTTTCCATTATAAGAACGATTTCGCAAAAGAATTGTGGTGACACAACCGACCGTTTTGGTCTCGTACTAGCATGGTTTCCGGTGGGACTACATGGAGAAATTTTATCCTCCGAATTTGAATTTTATCGCAAGTAATAGCATCAAAGCGAAACACCTTCTTAATGCCTTTGTCACCAAGACATTCCCGAATCATTTCACGTTAGTTACAGGACTTTAACCTTAAACAAGAATCACTTCGCGAATTTTACCACAGGTAGCCCAAGCTCACTATGAGAGCCCTGAACAACATTATCCTACTTAGCTAATTAATTATTCATACAGCAAGAAAATTATAAGACGTTGTATGGAGAAGTACTCTTTGCTCACTAAATTAGCAAAATGTACATTGAATATCGCTTTGAAGCTTACCTTTAGCGTCTTCTTGTTTTTCTTTGTATTCTGACTGCATTTCAGACCTCCTAGGCACTGTTTAAGGCCTTTTTTTCAGCGACAGTTTTTCACCCAGATGACAGTAGAGAGAAGAGAAGAGAAGGTTGGCACACCTCTCTTGACCGGCTCCGCTCTAGGCGATAAATTCCGTGACATTTGCGACATGGAGACAATTCCGCCGGAAACAGATGTCCTGATAAATAACGCACTTTTTCCATCATTCACATCGCCAAAATTCCCATTCATAAATCACTTCAGCAAATCCTCAAAACATCAATGGTTGAGGTCACACTAGAGACTTTATTATGGTTAAAAAGGGCTTTACTATGGTAAGTCTCGTAACGTCTTCTTTACCGTAGTAAACCTGACAGGTCCACTTAAAAAGGCATTTGAAACTTTCCAGGCGTTTTTTCTCGCGTAATCGGTAACGTGAGAGTGAAAAGTAAAACAAATGATGACATGCTATGAGAGCTGACTAAATTGAAATTACTGAACTGTAACTTCATGAGCGTGACCCTCACAAGTGTACAAAGATGGTTCAATGTGAGAGAGTATTGTTTTCTGTTGTGAGCATTTTGCTTTTAATTCTGCTGCTCAGACGAGCAAGAAGAATGCGCTCCCTTATTACCTACCTTGGTTTCGAATACGAAGTTAGTGAAGATGCTTTAGTGACAGGTTCATTGATTACCCATCGAAGACGTACTCTTAGAGAAAGAGCGGCATTGCAAAGGCAAGCGTGGGTTTACCCTCGACCCCAAGATCAAGAATGGTTTGAAGAAATGTACAGAAACAGAAACCTTGAAACACTGTGGAAAAAGCAATCACCGATGTTCTAAAGCTATTCTGTTATGTGACCCTTTTTGAAACTACTTTCCTCAAAAATCATGACAAACTGTCAACAAAACAAACAAAGTTTAGATAGACTAGAGATATACCCACCTATTCTTTTTGGTAACCAGATGGTTATCGGTGATGGGTCATCTTTGTTCTTTCCGCGGTAGTCATGGAAATTAACCAGGGTAGAGTTTACCATAGTAAACTGAAAAATGCCGGTCACACTTACGGCGCCGTTTACTATGGTAAACTTGAGTTTACTATAGTAAACTTTCTCTAGTGTGACCTCAACCAATATCGACATCATGTAAAATTGCAAGTCTAAGAAACACGTTTGAGTCCTTTTTTTGGTTCTAATTTGGATCAATGAATAAGACAATTCTCTTAAAATGTGACAATCCATCTCCTTTAGAAGTAAAGTCTTTAAGATAGATGTCCATTTTTATTGCTACATATTTCTTCATCTGGAACGCTATTTATTAAACCTTCTCTTTGCTCAACGTCCAGTGTCCTGAAAAATTTTAATATACACAAAACTGTTAACACTTAGTCCATTATTGAGCCTGCGCGGCAAGCGTTTGCCATCGAGTTATTGCGTGAAGGTGGTAGCGAGAGAAAAAATGGAAGTAGGGAGTGGGGGAGGGGAGACTTTCCTATTCTCCCCTCACCTTCCCCCTTCATTTCCCATTTTTCGCTCTCGTTCCAACTCTGTCTACGACGGAACGCTTGCGACGAAGGCTATGAGTCCATTGAAGACACTATAATAATAGCAGGTCTCAGGAGTTTCATATAAATGGTCACACGACACGATTCTTTCAAAAAAGGTAAAAGCTACAACATAAAGGTTTTTGCATTACTGACTATTTCAGTGAAAAAAGAAGCGTTCGGAAAGAAAGTACTGTAGAGTAGACCAGTGCTCAACAAGACTAACGTAACCTGATGCTATTTTTCTGGTATTTTGGGGAAGAAACGAGGAAACGTCGATAAAAAATACCAGTGAGAGCTTCACTACTAACTCATCTTACTTACCCACTAGTCATCCGTCGTCTTCTAATGTTCAAAAGTTTCTTTAAGCCGATATAGATGGGGTCCCAGTCTCCATAATGTGTAAGTAAACTCACGGCAAAAAATGACGCAAAGGCGGGTATGGTGCCAAGTAAGAACATCCACGAAAAATGAACCTACAAAATAAGAAACACCGAGAATACTTAGCAATGAAGCGGTGACGTTTGAGGAAAGGCAAATTCATTGTAACAGTCACGATTTCGCCGTTGTCGCGTCTTCGTTGCTAAAGCTCCGTTATATAGCAGTGATCTTACCCTCCTCATGAACACATCGACACACATGGTCAGCGGTATAATCAGACTCAGAGACAGCGTCGCTGTTAATGACGACGTCAAATAGCAACCCCTTGGAAACAATTCAGGAAAAAAACTGTTATTGATAAGTTGGAAAATGTCCAAGTTTTATGCAATTATTTAACCACACAATTAACTCATTATTTAATCATCACAGTTATAGACGCAACTAAAAAAAGCCTGAATAAATTTAGGCTAACGTAAGACCCGAACTCAGAAACTGTTGGACTCAGTACTGGGGAAAGCTATGTTGACTCTGCAACGCTCAGCTGTGTCAGTGGCTAAGTTACTTTTTCAACCAATCACATTTGCTCGTGCGAGTTTTCCCGCGCTTTTTGACGCCGGCTACACGTCCTTGCTACGGACTGCGATTGGTCAATAAGATGGGTGCTGATGCTTTGATTTTTACTTCAGTGTCACAGCAGTCAAAAAGTAATTGTTGCAGTCACATGAATCCACTGTAAACACCAATGTTTAAAGTAATAGTTACCAAAGCCATAAGAATTCTGACAGCACAGTTCCAACGAAAGCATTCAGAGCTATGTAGCCCCACACTGTTGCACTTGGGGGGAGTTCAAATACTTCTAACTGGAAATAATTAAGGAATAGAAATCCTGGCCAAAGAAGGAAAAAATTAAATGCTCCAACAAGGCCTGCAATGATTAAAATAAGAGAATATTGTTAGAAAGCCGTTGGGAAATAGGTGCACCGGATGTCAGCGGAATCAGAAGAAACGTTATAAGTGTTTTGTATGTCAAGGCCAGCTAACAAAAAATCGTTTGAAATGTTAAGGACGAACATACACAAAATTTGTCTACAGTTCCTGGCCTTTACTTTTGTATTCTCAGTTTTCAACCACTTGACAAGGTGGCCATGTTAATAAACAAAACAATATAAATACTTTTCAACGAATTTGCCTGAAGGAAAAGAGTATATATCGCTGCGGAGAAAACCTCTTTTGTTCTCACCAACCAACATGGACCAGGATGATATCAGCTACAGACTGGTCAGTAATTAAGACCAATGACAATTATTGTCGGCCACCTGTTGACCAAGTTCAACTCTTCAGTCACACTTATATAAAGCCAACTCGTTTGCTTCTTGCCAGTTGGAATTCTTATCCTTGTGGGCCACAATGAAAACTACTGTTTTATCGGGAATAGGCCACTTGCACTAAGAGGTCACGTGACCAATGCTTCCTTTAAACAATGAGTTGGAATATTGCTGATGCCAAAAATTGGCAGAGCACATAAAAATTAGCTTACACCCGAAATTTGAGAGGAAACGCATTTAAGGGAGATATTTTATGGCACTTTGATTTTTCAACAAAGCAGTATGATTTGTATTGGCTGCCATGTTGGAGGGCATACTCTTGCCCTCCAATATGGCGGCAAAAACTACTTTTTGCTTATATCTTGTTAAACGTTTGATAGTTACGCTCAGATATGCTGTGAACGTTACCACATCATTTTTTCAACATCCTCCTTGAAGTTTAAGTGCAAAGCTTGTGTTCAAAAAGAAGTAATCATAATTTCAAAAATCACATTTTGGTCACGTGACCAGGGAGGAACTTACTCATTTTAAGAAAATGGTGCGGGTTTGAAAAACCAAATCCCTATTATTCTGTTGAAGATATGACCCACTAATCGTTTTTTGAAGGCAAAATCATATAGCTTTCATTTTCATGAAAACTATGTGACATGACCTCTTAGTGCAAATGGCCTATTACTGTGCTACCCCTATAAGTCAAACCTGACATCACTTTAGTAGTACTGTACCAAATTAATGAAGAAAGATCACGGCTCAAGTCTGCTCCATGAAGAGGCAAACCAACCTGTTCACCTTTTCATCAAAATAAATAAGTATTATTATTGCTTACCAAAAAACATTGGAATATCCATTTGTTTCTCATCAGGGACTTTGTGTTTCAGCATTATTAAATAACAGGAATACCTAGTAAACAACAGTACAAAATTATTGCTAAGAATGAAGCGGTGTCATAAAAAGAGAGAAGAGTAGCTATTTAACAAACTCACAAAAATGCACTGGCCAGAGCCCATAATGCTCCCACACTTATCCCGCCAGCTTTGTTCTTGGAGTCAGAAAGTGTTACCAACACTATTCCAGTGATGCTGTCATGTTAAAAAGAAAATATACATTTCCAGTAAAATTAATATCGATTTAAAGCAAAATTCTATGGTAGACACCTCCCTCATATAACATCAGGTTGATCATCATCATCATCATCATCATCATCATCATCATCATCATCATTCTTGTCATTTTTGAGGCGGGGTTTCACGGAAGAAGAAGAAGAAGAAGCCACATAAGGGGAGTGGACAATTTAGTATTTATTATTTATTTATCATTATTATTTATCACCGTCTTCATCAACAATGACAAATTGTGTTTTAGAGCTTTCAAAACTTCCATTGCTTACAGTACCCTATTCTTCTGTAAGATAACGTCATTGAGATTGAATGCTTATTATAACTGGTAGCCAACGTTACACAGGGAGATATCACCAAGGGTAAATACAATAAGCAAGCAGGGAATCAACCAGCTAGGGATTTCTTTTTGTTCTATTTTCTTTTATTTTCCTATGAAAGTAGCGGGGGAACATGTTTATAGTAGACAGGGAAAATCCCCGGCCTCCGGCTCTTAATGACAGCCATGGTTACAGATTCAAATGTACCATCTGAAAATATCTGGGGAAGAGTGTTCAATCAACCTAGCTACATATTAGCCTGAGTATCAGACCATCCTACACCTGATACTAAGACTACCTAGCTATAGACTTTGAAACACTCTACTCACTTCACAGTAATCTTAAAAAAGGCACTTGTTTACTCATAATTTATTAACTAACTCACCTCATAAGAACAGCAAGTAGTTTTGTGATGGAGAATTTATCAGCAGATGAACTCTGGAACACAGATGCTAATATGAGTGTAAATAACCCTGGAAAAAATGCAAATTAAAAAATACTATCACTTTAATCCATCAAAAAGTTGTCTTTTAAAAATGAAGCATTAAATGCATTGATCTGACTGAGAGTTAACAACTTCTCTCTCACATGACAAGAAAACAAAGTCAACTTTTCAAAGAAAAAAAAACAGACGTCATCTAAATCTATATAATTTTGTTAAGTGGCAAAGAGAAACCTGAAAATTACTGCTAAATGGTCTTATCACAGAATTTTGTCCACAATGATGCCCAAATTGCATATAAAAGGTGATAAAATATGTGAAGATGTTAGGGCACTCTCTTGTTAAGTGAGCACTGCCAGCTAAGATGTGAAATGAGATAGTACACATTACACACCAATGAGCCTAAGCCAATGCAAAAAGAGAACAATAACCCCATTTGACAGGCTAATTTTAGGCTAAGGAATACCTGTAGCAAGAAATCTTACCTGATGAGGATGACAAAATATTTACTGCTGCTGGTGACGTGTGTGCAATGGCTTCCTGATAACTGCAGTTAGCACAAAACCACTGTGGAAGAGAAGCTAGTCAGTAGAGAAAATAATCCCTAATCTAATGATCATTGGCTCCAATGGTCAATGCAAGAAACTCCAAAGGAAGTAAATGTTTAAAAAATATTGCAAGAAGGACAAGGGGTGTGCAAGATGTTAAATATAGTTACCACATATTTCTCTCCTCTGTACGAAGTGAGTGCAGGCACAAAATGTTTTGCCAATTACCGACCAAATTTTGCACTTGGACCCCCCTCCTCCCCCCCCTTTACCATGCCCCTTTGAGCCTCTGCACAGGAGAGAGACTAAAATATATCAAAAATCTGACAGCAAAATGTAGCGTAGTAGTAGGTTTGCCAATCCTGATGTAACTACTTAAACTGAAGAAACACCCTGAGACACAACCTCTAGTTTTTACCCCTTAATGTTTTTGCAAATAGTGATGATAATATTGTGAGAAATATTCATTTTACAATAACTGGGTGATTTCTTGTGCGCTGATTGGTGAAGAGCTTTGTTTGATAAACTTACAGACCATGGAAATGATGTGATGGTCGCACAATTTATTCTTCTCTGTCTAGTATGTGTAACTTTTCAAGAAATTTCTAAGGAAATGGATGTCAAAACTGTCAATGTTATTGTAAAAAACAAATTGACAACACTTTTTCATCATCTCTGCTGTTATCGACCATGGAAATAACATCAAAATATTCAAAACTTTGCAGTGAGACCACTCATCATCAGCTCGTTCTTGATTCTGTTATCTTCCTCAGGAGAGAGGCTTTGGTCACATCACACACACACACCCTACCCCACCCCCTAACTACTTCAAAAAAGCCTTACAACTCACCAGTAAGCAGAATAGCAAGGCAACCTTAGCAACACGATGGACAGGAAGTTTCTGATCTTCACCCAAGTGGTAAGGAAGTCTGGTCAACCTTGCCTGTTCAGAATTATGCTCTGAAAAATGCAAAATTTAAACAATGAGTTGGAATATTGCTGATGCCAAAAATTGGCAGAGCACATAAAAATTAGCTTACACCCGAAATTTGAGAGGAAACGCATTTAAGGGAGATATTTTATGGCACTTTGATTTTTCAACAAAGCAGTATGATTTGTATTGGCTGCCATGTTGGAGGGCATACTCTTGCCCTCCAATATGGCGGCAAAAACTACTTTTTGCTTATATCTTGTTAAACGTTTGATAGTTACGCTCAGATATGCTGTGAACGTTACCACATCATTTTTTCAACATCCTCCTTGAAGTTTAAGTGCAAAGCTTGTGTTCAAAAAGAAGTAATCATAATTTCAAAAATCACATTTTGGTCACGTGACCAGGGAGGAACTTACTCATTTTAAGAAAATGGTGCGGGTTTGAAAAACCAAATCCCTATTATTCTGTTGAAGATATGACCCACTAATCGTTTTTTGAAGGCAAAATCATATAGCTTTCATTTTCATGAAAACTATGTGACATGACCTCTTAGTGCAAATGGCCTATTACTGTGCTACCCCTATAAGTCAAACCTGACATCACTTTAGTAGTACTGTACCAAATTAATGAAGAAAGATCACGGCTCAAGTCTGCTCCATGAAGAGGCAAACCAACCTGTTCACCTTTTCATCAAAATAAATAAGTATTATTATTGCTTACCAAAAAACATTGGAATATCCATTTGTTTCTCATCAGGGACTTTGTGTTTCAGCATTATTAAATAACAGGAATACCTAGTAAACAACAGTACAAAATTATTGCTAAGAATGAAGCGGTGTCATAAAAAGAGAGAAGAGTAGCTATTTAACAAACTCACAAAAATGCACTGGCCAGAGCCCATAATGCTCCCACACTTATCCCGCCAGCTTTGTTCTTGGAGTCAGAAAGTGTTACCAACACTATTCCAGTGATGCTGTCATGTTAAAAAGAAAATATACATTTCCAGTAAAATTAATATCGATTTAAAGCAAAATTCTATGGTAGACACCTCCCTCATATAACATCAGGTTGATCATCATCATCATCATCATCATCATCATCATCATCATCATCATTCTTGTCATTTTTGAGGCGGGGTTTCACGGAAGAAGAAGAAGAAGAAGCCACATAAGGGGAGTGGACAATTTAGTATTTATTATTTATTTATCATTATTATTTATCACCGTCTTCATCAACAATGACAAATTGTGTTTTAGAGCTTTCAAAACTTCCATTGCTTACAGTACCCTATTCTTCTGTAAGATAACGTCATTGAGATTGAATGCTTATTATAACTGGTAGCCAACGTTACACAGGGAGATATCACCAAGGGTAAATACAATAAGCAAGCAGGGAATCAACCAGCTAGGGATTTCTTTTTGTTCTATTTTCTTTTATTTTCCTATGAAAGTAGCGGGGGAACATGTTTATAGTAGACAGGGAAAATCCCCGGCCTCCGGCTCTTAATGACAGCCATGGTTACAGATTCAAATGTACCATCTGAAAATATCTGGGGAAGAGTGTTCAATCAACCTAGCTACATATTAGCCTGAGTATCAGACCATCCTACACCTGATACTAAGACTACCTAGCTATAGACTTTGAAACACTCTACTCACTTCACAGTAATCTTAAAAAAGGCACTTGTTTACTCATAATTTATTAACTAACTCACCTCATAAGAACAGCAAGTAGTTTTGTGATGGAGAATTTATCAGCAGATGAACTCTGGAACACAGATGCTAATATGAGTGTAAATAACCCTGGAAAAAATGCAAATTAAAAAATACTATCACTTTAATCCATCAAAAAGTTGTCTTTTAAAAATGAAGCATTAAATGCATTGATCTGACTGAGAGTTAACAACTTCTCTCTCACATGACAAGAAAACAAAGTCAACTTTTCAAAGAAAAAAAAACAGACGTCATCTAAATCTATATAATTTTGTTAAGTGGCAAAGAGAAACCTGAAAATTACTGCTAAATGGTCTTATCACAGAATTTTGTCCACAATGATGCCCAAATTGCATATAAAAGGTGATAAAATATGTGAAGATGTTAGGGCACTCTCTTGTTAAGTGAGCACTGCCAGCTAAGATGTGAAATGAGATAGTACACATTACACACCAATGAGCCTAAGCCAATGCAAAAAGAGAACAATAACCCCATTTGACAGGCTAATTTTAGGCTAAGGAATACCTGTAGCAAGAAATCTTACCTGATGAGGATGACAAAATATTTACTGCTGCTGGTGACGTGTGTGCAATGGCTTCCTGATAACTGCAGTTAGCACAAAACCACTGTGGAAGAGAAGCTAGTCAGTAGAGAAAATAATCCCTAATCTAATGATCATTGGCTCCAATGGTCAATGCAAGAAACTCCAAAGGAAGTAAATGTTTAAAAAATATTGCAAGAAGGACAAGGGGTGTGCAAGATGTTAAATATAGTTACCACATATTTCTCTCCTCTGTACGAAGTGAGTGCAGGCACAAAATGTTTTGCCAATTACCGACCAAATTTTGCACTTGGACCCCCCTCCTCCCCCCCCTTTACCATGCCCCTTTGAGCCTCTGCACAGGAGAGAGACTAAAATATATCAAAAATCTGACAGCAAAATGTAGCGTAGTAGTAGGTTTGCCAATCCTGATGTAACTACTTAAACTGAAGAAACACCCTGAGACACAACCTCTAGTTTTTACCCCTTAATGTTTTTGCAAATAGTGATGATAATATTGTGAGAAATATTCATTTTACAATAACTGGGTGATTTCTTGTGCGCTGATTGGTGAAGAGCTTTGTTTGATAAACTTACAGACCATGGAAATGATGTGATGGTCGCACAATTTATTCTTCTCTGTCTAGTATGTGTAACTTTTCAAGAAATTTCTAAGGAAATGGATGTCAAAACTGTCAATGTTATTGTAAAAAACAAATTGACAACACTTTTTCATCATCTCTGCTGTTATCGACCATGGAAATAACATCAAAATATTCAAAACTTTGCAGTGAGACCACTCATCATCAGCTCGTTCTTGATTCTGTTATCTTCCTCAGGAGAGAGGCTTTGGTCACATCACACACACACACCCTACCCCACCCCCTAACTACTTCAAAAAAGCCTTACAACTCACCAGTAAGCAGAATAGCAAGGCAACCTTAGCAACACGATGGACAGGAAGTTTCTGATCTTCACCCAAGTGGTAAGGAAGTCTGGTCAACCTTGCCTGTTCAGAATTATGCTCTGAAAAATGCAAATTTGCTCCATTTAAAACATGGAAATTTTTCATGATTGAGCTGTAAATACTGTCCAAAAAAAGCTCCCTAATAAACCAAATTACATGTATTTACCTGATAATTGCCGCACTTCTCTCACACTGCTAAACGTCACCCGCCTAGGTCCTGTCATATAGTTAAGATAATGAGTGTATTAAAGCAAGTGACCAATATTCAAAATATTTTTCACTTGATTACCACTTGTAAAATTACCTAATTCTGTTATCTGATTTTGCAAAGTATTTGAAGTTGATAGTATGCCATGCATGTGATTAAAAGTTAAATTAAGGTGGCTCGATACAGTTTTTCAAGGCCAGTACCTCCCAAGTTTGAGCATAAACTACGTCGCCATAAACAAAGTTTTGTAAAAATTGTCACCACAGTTGTATTAGATAAAGATGAAAATTTGTTATGATCAGGGTTGCAATGACATCGGAGTTGTCATAGCAACGAAATGACGCCATTACCTATTTCACTTACAGAAGTATTTCTCGGCACTGGGAACTGTTCTTTCAAAATCATTCACGGGAGCTTTTTCCTCTAATAGCCGCCTCGATGTTCGTGAAGTTTAAACGAAATCTGTAAGAGCGTTATCGAGATATTTTGGGATAAAGATTTTGTGATTAGAAATACGGTAAAAAATTGATAATCTTGATGTTCGGCTGTTATCTGTAGAAAATGAAGCCCTTTTGACATGCAATTTCACCTCATGGTAGTTTCAATCTTTTTAAAAACGTGGGTGAAAGACCGTGGAGATAGCTCCAGCCGATTGCTAGAAAGAAGAATTTGATTAGTATGTATCGAGGCGCTTTTGTTAGCGGTTTTTGAACATTTTGGTCTTCTTTAACAAATTAGCGAATAACTTTTAAACCGCTCGATAGATTTTTTAAAAAAATTAAGATTCTTGAGATTAACCTTCCTTTTATATGACCTTTTAGTTTCAAAATTATTGATCTATTGTAAGGCAGTAAAATAAGGGCTACAATTCGCCAATATTTTGGCAGAAATCTTGTGTCTACAAATGTGAGCCTCTCATTATTCAGGGTATTGTCTCCAAGTTTCATATTTTCGCGCATAACAATAGCTAGCATTTTTGCATATGTCAAATACATTGTTAGTTACTGTTGTTCACGTGGAAATGAAACTTGGAGACAATGCCTTGAATAATGAGAGGCTTTCACATGTAATAACGAAACTTCCGCTAAAAATGTAACGAATTGTAGCCCTTATTTTACTGCCTTACAATATATCAATAATCTTGAAACTAAAGGGTCATATAAAAGAAAGGTTAATCTCAAGACTCTTAAATTTTTAAAAAAATCTATCGAGCAGTTCAAAAACTATTCGCTAATTTGTTAAAGAAGACCAAAATGTTTACAAAACCGCTAACAAGAGCGCTTCGATACATGATAATAAAACCCTTCTTTCTAGCAATCGGCTGGAGCTATCTCCATGATCTTTCACACACGTTTTTAAAAAGATTGAAACTACTATGACGTGAAATTGCATGTAAAAAGCGCTCCATTTTCTACAGATAACGGCCAAACAACAATATCGTCCATTTTTTACTGTGTTTCTAACCACGAAAACTTCATCCCAAAATATCTCGATAACGCTCTTACAGATTTCGCTTAAACGTCACGAACATCGAGGCCGCTATTGGAGGAAAAAGCTCCCGTGAACGCTTTTGGAAGAACAGTTCGCAGTGCCGAGATATACTGCTGCAAGTAAAATAGGTAATAGCGTCATTTCGTTGCTATGACAACTCCGATGTCGTTGCAACCCTGATCATAACAAATTTTCATCTTTATCTAATGCAACTGTGGTGGTAATTTTTCCAAAACTTTGTTTATGGCGACATAGTTTATGCTCAAACTTGGGAGGTATTGGCCCTGAAAAACTGTATCGAGCCACCTTAATTTACTTTAAATTTAAGCAATGACAATGTTGGATGTGACACACAGGGGACCCAGACTATTAGGAAGCACTTAGTCTAGGTAAATCTCTCTCCAAGACATGTGTTTTTAACTTACTTGGAATGATTTCAAAGGAACTACTAGCTGCTTCAGCTGATCGGCTGGTTGAAATGTCTTCATCTGTCATTTCTTCAAAAGTTGGCTCATTCTGACAATCAACAAAAGACAGTAATGAAAACTGCAGGGAGCACTCAAACAGAGTTTAACCACTGTTACTAAGATGAAACCAATAGTTTTCATTAATTTGTTTTACCTGGAAATTTCAACACTGTTTACTGGGAGAGTATCAAGGGATGTTTCCTAAACAGGCGACAAGTAGTAGGTACCATTAGGGAATAGAGAGTCATTTATTTTGCTATTTAATCTTTTATTTTATTAATATATGGTTGTTATAATTTCGAGTCTTGGAACAAAATTTTATGAACTGACGGTCACCATACAAGGGAAACCTCTCTATTTTCAGCATTTTTATAACATGAAATTTATGAAATTTGTTGAATTTTAACTGTGGCTTCCTTTGGAAGTTTAAAAAGATGCAACTCACCATTAGTGGTCTTGGGATTGGTGTAGTTTCCCCTGAGGATGAAGGTGAGTTTAAAAGAGATGTGTGTTCACTGTCTTGATTTACAGCAGATACCAAGACCTGAAAAAAAAAATGTCCAGACAAAATGCTACAGTAATTCACCCAGTTTTCTAACCCCTGGGAAAGGAAAATTGTTTCATGTTTGGAGGAGCTTTAAAAATTTTAGGGTAAGATCACAGATTTTGACTGAGAAAAAAAAATAGGTTTTAGATTTTATAATAGAGAGTTGAACAAAACAGGAGGTAATTTAAGATAAGGAATCAGCTGCATTTTCAAGTGAAAAAAATTAAGAGATGCCAATAGAAAGCCCTACGTGACCTTGAATTAATTAACAGATTCTCTATATTGTATGTGAACTTTAATGTGGTGACGCCCCTAAATATAAAAAAATATATATTTTGAAAGTTTAATTTGTCAATTTGCACATCACCCAAAATAAACCTTATTAATTTTATTTTGCTGCCCCCACCTCCCAGCAAAAAATTGCATACCCTTTGTTTCAATTTCCACCTGGGTATTACAGTCATCTCACAAGAAATTGGAAAAATTACAAAATTTTCAAAAATTGGGAGATAAACAAGGTGTTTTATGGGAGCTGTGCAAATGGCAAATAATAATCTAAGGATCTGCATAGAGATCATAATGTTCTTTCTTGTCACTTACATTTGAGGATGTTTCATTCTTTAAGCATGCAAGGCATTGAAGCCTCCATGGCTCATAAAAAAGAAATCCAGTCAAATATATCATAAATGATGATGTCTTGAAGAATGTGGTGAAAAAAGGCTTGTCAAATCCTTCATATTTGAAAATAAACTGTAAAGAAAAAGGTTTTGGTCAAACTAGACGTAAGTAAAACAGAAAACTAAATTCCTAATTCTGTGTAAACCATAAAAACTACAAATACTTGATAAAAAGCGATGAGAATGAACAAGATTGTAATCATTATGGACTTACTGGAGATCTGGGTAACATGAATTTTTGACAGATATGAGAGAGTGAAAAAATCTCTAACTTAAACATTACACTTCTTATTTGCACAACCCTGTGATGCCAGCTATGGTAACTATTTTCTGTCTAGTGGAAAGCAAACTTTTGCTTTCATAAAAGCTGTCAAAAATTTGTTCAGAGCAGTGCCAGATCCAGACTTTGAGATAACGGGGACCCGGTCATCCAGACTCTTAGATATGGGTGGGGAGGGAGGGGGGGTCTCCTAAAAAATTTTTTTCAGGACTTTGGGCCTTAGTTTGGTCTGAAAATGCCACAGCAGAGGTCAGATTTGTTTTTGGAAAGGTAGAGAGGTTGTGTGGTTGGTAGCCTGTGTTGAGAACATAATCTAACCCCAGCCGACTCAATAAATAATGGGAAATGTATTATTTATCAGTTATTTACACAGTCCCAACAGCTTCTTGCCATGGACACTTCTATTTATTAGGCAGACCATTAGAAAAGCTATGGGAGGAGGTGGAGTGGGGAGGGGGACAAGCACACACATGCAAAATTAATTCAAGGGAAAAATGACTTACGAAATAATGGACATGCAGCTCAAAAACTTCCCAATCCCTGCCATAACTTTTCTAATTAATGGTCCGCTCCTGATAAAAGCAACCAAATCAGCTGGTTTACATATGACGACATCATGGTAAACATCTTGGTGGTCAATAACAAAAGCATTTCCCTCTACTGGAAACTTTAAACCCCGTTCTCATGCAAATTCTGTGTAAAAAATATATATATTTTGTATTGATCACCAACATAGCAGCCTTGCCAGATGATATGGTTGCAAACCATTTATTAATTTTTATTGTAATGTTCTGATGAAAAGGTTTCCTTTTAAATATTTGGAGGTAATTTTCGTACGCTATCTGGTAATAGAGTAGTAATAAGTAGTAGTAAATTTGTTCTCACATCTGTCAGTTCTGACGAGCCAACCCAAAGAACGTCCACCATCAGTAAAACAACAATCCCCAACAACAAGCGTCGTCGCCGCCTAACACTCTCATCCTGTGACACAATAAACTGCACTGTTGAAGTCCACATCGAACGGAAGCAGTTACAAAGACGACTGCTACTTGTAGAAGACATCTTCTTTAGTTTTTATAAAACTAAAACAAGCTTACGTACACTGGCTTTCGCTGTGATTTAACCCACAGACGAAGATGTTTCATCTGATGGTACCATGACACTGTATAAAGACAAAACTGAGTTGAGTACAAAAACACCATATTATAATGACCGCGATTATAGGAAAAACGCTTTACTGAAGAATCGAAATCTAAAAATAAAAATACAACTGACCTTCTCGTGACATGGCCGCCATCTTGGATTACCGTTGTTAAACGCGGGCTCATTTCACAGGCTCCCCAAGCTTTATCATTTTGATTTTCGAGTTTTTTTTCCCTCTCTGTTTTTATTCAATGCACAAGTACCCCACAAGAACAGCGAGTAAAAACGCCCAGTGGAAAAGAAATACTCAGGGGCAAGTTTCAACAGCTAGCACGACAACGCAACACCCAAAAAATGTATTGCTTCCAGGCTCCTTACATTAAGCAATCAAATGATCAAAAAAATAATGCGCAACGTTTCACGTCTGCTTTATTGATTTTATACAGTACAACCGATACTACTCAATAGCTGAGCATTTTAACTCTCTTTTTAACTTTACGAAAGCATTTTTAAACGCATAAAACAGGGATGGCGAAAGAAAACAAAGTTTAGTATTTAAGGGAATTTATTATTCTATGAGTCATCTTCATCAAACCTACCCTGCGAGCAGAGTCTCTTTCGATCTTCCCAGGAGACTCTGCTCGCAGGGTACATCAAACCTTTTGGCAATAGAGAATATCTCCACGGCAAGCACCACTACCTCGAGGTGAAAGCGCACTTTCTCCTCCTTTATTGCAACATAAACTGACAGGTGCCGATGTTTTTAAAATGACGTAAAATTTCAAGGAAACTTTTCGCCACCCCCTTCATAATATTTACACCTATACACTATATGACTACATTGCAGAATATAAGTTTTCACTGAGAAAATAACTGGAAACTTCCCCCACTGTCTCTGATAATACCCTACACTATCTACCCAAGCCCCCGGCCTAGTTTTGCTCTCCCGCAAAGACAACGATAAGCGATTTTCTAGCGTTACATCTAAAAGAAATACCCGGTAGACTATACAGTAAGTCCAGTCGGCTTAGACTAAAACAATGATTTTCCTCTCACACGTTAAAGAACGGGCAAACATTATCGAGGCTCTTATAGCGACAATGCTGCAAAATTATAATTATTGAAGGTATTTGCATGTGCAGCATTTGACTGTACGAATATTTACGTCGCGGAAACTGGTAACAATATTTGGGGCCAAGTACCACCCCCTCTCCCTATGTAGGGAAGCTCACAACTACAGTAAGCGTAAACTTGTGTACTGGAGAATTGACCACTCCAGAAAATACTATAACATACCATAATGCTCTTTGTTTATCACCCCAAAATTTTGCATAAGCATTGTCTTCAGTTTCTCTTGGGAGATAAAATGGCCTCGAGAGAAACTGAAAACAATGCTTATGCAAAATTTTGTGGTGACTAACAAAGAGCATTATGGATTGTTATGGTATTTTCTGGAGTGGTTAATATGAACTTTTTTCTCAAAGTTTCGATAAAAACGCTTGTATTAAGCAGACATCTCGTTCGAGCGGACATCCGAAGCTACTGAGGTCGGTATTCTCTTTATAGGCCTTTTAAACCCTCATATAAAAAAATGTCCTCATTTGTTGTCCGTTGTACATTTCCCAAATGGATCATGTGGGATCAAGAACGTTTTGGAAATCCAACTTGTTTGGTGATGTTTTTATCGATTTCCTTCTGTTTTATGAAGCTCTTACATAGAAAGGAGATAGGTTTCACTGAGGTTTATATCAGTATGCAAAAAGAAAAGCATTGAGTAAAATGGTAAAAAAATCCTCAAAACAAATTATAAACCTATCTAAGACCTAATGCAAAGTTAACGGCTGCATATTTTAATTTACTAACATTTCTGTATAGAAACATTACTGCAAGAAGTAATGATTATCATTGAAGCTCTTTTGCAGTTTTTCTACTTGGATGCCGTTATTTTGATTCATAAAGTGTGAAAATCATTTTATGGAGTTTTTGCTGCCTAGAAGTTGTACGTTCTTACATGAAAAATGTTTAGAAATTTTTGTGAATCTCGATATTTATATTGATCATCACTGCATCATCTTTAGAGTACTGTGGGCTACAAACCGTGTCGATGGGCGCAAACTTTTCGTAGCCATACAGGGTGGTGTATTGGCCGTTGGCAGCGGGTTTCTGAAAAGCTTCAAGATTTCTGTTGGCCATGAAAGTGCCACTGACATCGTTGCAGAGGCTGTGAGCATCATTGCTTTGATCCAACATGGAGAGGGAGATTCGTCCACAAAATGGCCATTTGAGCCTGTTATCAAAATCCCCCTTCATCATACCAACAAACAGGCCAATATGACCTCCATCTCCACCATCAACGCCTTTTGGGTAGATACGCATGAAGGACTTGTATCCACACAAACTAGTGTAAATCGGAGGACTATCAAGTGATGTTTTTATTCCATCACTATCACCCTGGAGGAGCTGAGAGAAGTTCTCTATCTTCCAAGTATAATTTCCACCACAGATCTGACCTTTAGTTAACAAAGGCTCTGGTGGACTTGACCTGTAGAGACAAATAGGCTTTAGGATGACTGGTTGGATTTGTGAGGGCGGTTTTTGAGTTGTGGGATAGAAAAAAGACAAATTGGAAACAGTCGCTAACAAACTTGGATGCTATACTGGCTAAAAATAGTAAACTTTGACGCTTGTACGGTGTTTATGGAAGTCATTATGACCTGTAACTGCTGTAATTTCCGGATGTTTACTTAGAATTTCATGGCTTTCTTTAAATGACCCTTTCAGCGTATAGATAAGTGACTAGGTAGCGAAGATCATAGAAATCAGTAGTAATAGTAAACTGTCTATTGAACTACGTCATGATTTTGCCATTACTGCACATGCTCATTAGAGATTTAAAACCAACCACTGCGATTTCAATCAAGTCAAAGTGTAACATGACGCACTGCTTACCCGTGGCCAGAGAATCGGGAAAAATTTAAACTAGTCCTCGAATTAGTTCGATGGGATATGCGTTTGGCTTAATTTGAGGACGTATACTGACCTGTTCAAAGTCAGCTGTCGTGGAGAACTGGATGCACGCATGCGTTCACCTCCTTGATTCTGCTCCGGAAATTGGCTGGTCTCCTCGACAGATCTAGAGCACCTGATTCCATTGACCGACTCAGTTGCATCAGTCCATCCTCGCCCGCAGTGCATCTGAGTTGTTAATGGTCTAGCTTCGGTCCAATCTCTGAACTGCATTCCTCTAGTTTGCTCCGCGTACTGCATCGGTTGTCTACCTCTTCGAGAATGCACCTGGTATAAGGGAACCTCCTGCATTGGATGAAAATTCATATTCTCAACAAGTATCTCTTTCAGGCGGTCAGGATATCTTGGTTGCACAAGACCGTTACCACTCGGTCAGGGAACCCAATCCATCAGCCCATTGTAAATCTCTGCAGTGTCAAGCTGACCAATAAAAATCTGTTGAGATCCTTCTATCTGTTCTCCATTATGAATGGGAAGATATACTCCTACAGTTGGTTGACCACCGATCGCCTGAAAAAAAAAAAAGTGCAAATACGTATTTTTAAATCAGCGTAGGAGATATTATCACTTTCTTGTTAAAAATTGTACGGTTGTTTCTTCTTGCTCTTACAGAAAGGAGCCAAAAAGTGTAACCGCTTTTGATTTATTCACATTCTTTCGTGCAGATTTTGTCCAATCAGCATCCAGCTGGTAACTGTTCTCGACTTCTGATTGGTTAATGTCTGCATGAAAGAATGTGAATTAATTAAAGGAGATCACACTTTTGGGCTCCTTTCTGTGACTAATGGGTTCGTCAAAAACCAGTCAAAGGTCACAATTCATGTGTCCCAGCCCCCAAATATTACGCTGCGGGTCGTCGCAGTATAACTGTGCTGATGCCAAAACTTGGGAAAAGTACTAAACAGATAAATTTAAACCTGCCTTTTTTTAAAGTCACACCTTGCTATAGGATTAATGAAATTTTGATTTCGGCAACATGCTATACGGAAACACGAACCGCAGAAAAAGTGCTAGTGCAGTAAAAAAGTGATTTTATCTTTTCTAATTTTGGGAGGTTTTGATATTTTCTATTAGGATACTGATAGGAACCTCTTGAGCTTGTAAATATCTACCTACCCCTTGCTCTATTGGCTCTCTCCCTGAAGCAGCTGAATGTCCTGCAACTTCATTATTTCCCCTATAAGAAAAATATAGACAAATAATGACATTATCCTAGCCGCCAACCTTATCACTAAAAACTTAGACGCTTCCTCAAAATGAATTTCAATAGCGGGGCCTGGTTTGTTCCAAAAAAGCAAAGAGTTAAATATTTTTGGGACAGCATAGCCGGGATATTTCTGTTCGGGGTATATCACTTCAACTTGAAATGATCAGTGTTTTCTTTTATCACCTCGTGACTTCTCTATTTTCTAAACAACTTATCCACGAGTTCCCCATCAAAGCTATTCACTAAACTTTATATACTGCAGTCCCTTCCCGCTTTTCACTTGCGTCAGTTTAAAGACATAAATCAATCCTAAGCTGAATCTTTCTCGTGATAGTAGCTCTCCAGTTCGATTGAGGTGAAGTCTGCTTGCGTGAATTGTTTTTTCTGAAGGTTTTGTCCTGCAGACGAGCGTTTATCTGATCTGTTCTTTATCAGTTGGTGAAACGTCAACGAACTTCAACGGAAAGCCGGGAGAAATCCAATAAAGAAACAAATCTCACCATGCATCGTGACAAATCCTCGAGCTGGGTTCGATAGGACGTTAATAAGATCAAGAGCTTTTTTAGAGAACAGGAAATAGGTTTGACCGTTTCTTATGGCAAAAATATCGTCCCATCACGATTTTTTTTCCTGTGGCTCTTCAAAACGAAATTTTCCAAGTTTTACTTTGATTCAATTATTGAAAAGCTCACGTCAAATGCCCAACAAGTTTTAGTATTATTTGACAATTGATCAATGTACGTTGCCATACCAAAAAATTAAAAACAAACAAATATAAAATAAATTAAAATTTTAACCAAAGAAAATACAATTTACTAGTCGACTGAGCGTGACCTGCCTTGGAGCTGAATGACGTCAACAGATCAAAGGTTTTTGATTGGTTCAAACGTACATAAATTAAAGCATTTACAAAAGCAAACCTGAATGACTCATCACTGAGCTGTAAAACAGTTTCACTGTGGTGTCGTTAAATTACAGTTTTAAAATAAGTGGACTAATCCACTTTAGGAAATAAGTCAAAGACGACAAACGACTCATTTAGTGTTTTCTACGAGGAACTGAACCGGATTGCACAGCAGTTTTAGATTGACACTACTTCCGGCATTGATTTGCTCTTTACAAAAACAAGCAGTAAATTAATCAAACTTCATACTGGTTAATCTTGGACTTAAGATGCGAAAAGATTCAGTGGACAACGATCAATCATCCAAGCATTATTTCAAAAGTACACTTAGAAGTCTACTTCGAAACACTGGTACGTACGCTTCTTCTTCATCATACAGTTTATGCCTAACCATGGGGAACCTAACTAACCTAGTGAACTGACTCTCTGTATTTATTCCCGGGATTTATTTCGATGTTCAATACATCAGGGGCGCCCAGCGACTATATTCTGCAAAATAACTGTTCGAAGGAGCAAATGTTGTCTAGAAATTTCTAAAGCTTGAGAAAAGATAAAAATTTCTGGATAACCGTTCCATTCGTCTAAAATATTCGGAGGTTTTCTAACAGCTTAACTCCGATTTTTTCGGAGGTTGTGTTTTCACATTTTAATATCTAGATATTGCGATTATTTTTTTTAAAATGTCTCCTGAGAGGATTACAGTATTTTAAGAAAGGAACAATCAAGTGCAATACATTAGTCAAGCAAGTACCTTCATTGCTCCAAATCTCGGAGACGATTCCTTATGTAATAGACCTTTCGATGGTGTTTTCAACTCTTGACATGGACAAGTAAAGGAAAATCCATCGACGCCGCTGGAAAGAGCGCCTTTAAATTAGAATACTGCCAAATTTGAAAGTCATTTGTTAAAAAGCTCCTGAAAGTCGCGAAAAATTTATAGACGTTTGTTTGGTGGGGGCACAAACTCGCTTCCCTTCCCCCACCATATATTTTTGGTACATGTTATTTTGTGTGGTATTAGACCTCGTGAAGATACCTTCGGTGAACCAGTAGAGTCTCTCACGAGTAGTTTTGGAGTTTTCCCTGATTTCGTCATATGTGATCATGCAGGATGTGATGGCTGTTTTCTCAGTGGTCCGCATCAGGACTTCGAGCTAAAAGCGTTACTCAGATAGGTACATTGTTCACAGCTAAAGTTTTCGATGTAGCCAAAATGCCCTGATCTATAGCATTTATAATAAAAAATTTTCGTTAAACATACAGATCTTTTCTGTCATTTTTGCAAGGCACAAAATCGCCATCAAACACTTCACTGTTTCATACCACCTCAAGGCACACGAAAATCGTATCCGAATCCATCAATACACGGTCATCCACCCTTAAACAGTTTTGTCGACTTTTGAAATAAACCAGTAGGCTAAAATTTATCGAAACCACTGGAAAATAAGCCTTAAAACCAATAACGTTTGCTAAATTTGATAGTGGTATGTTGACAACTAACAAAGATATGGTTCGGAGAAGACACAAAATTGTACATGTGGACAAACGTAACTTCCGTCCATATTAACTAGTGTGAAACATCCCTCCCTGTGAAATTCAGTAGCCTGCGTAGCTGGGGGGATTACAAATATATTGTTATGTAGGTCGATAAAAAACAGCAGCTAAATAGCTAGTGTGATGGGTCAGCACTCGTGAACATCCATCGAAAGGCCCTTTCTCCCCATATGATTTTTACACAAGGTAGAACTGTTTTCTCTTTTTACATCACACTTAGATGATATTTCAAGCTGGAAATCATTTATGAAAGTGCAAGTCTCCTAAATTTAAAAGAAAAAAAAATTGATATGAAGGACAAGAGGATTCGAACCCATAACCTAAATTGCCACTAGATCACACTTACAATCGACTAACCACTAGACCACTGAGGGTTTGTTGGATGGTAAGTAACCCAACAAAAGAACCTAACCAGTTCAGCCGCCAGTTTCGAAACAGTACAGTGCTTAAAGGCAGTGCTAAACCCTAATCTGTAAAACGATAAGGAATACTACGTTGTGTAAACTTCATAAGGTGTCCAAGTGCCTTTCTATAGATGTTAAAAAGTGCTGACCGATGTCATGTGATGTGATGCGCGGAGCCGCGGGAAGAGTAGGTACAAGTCAAGTCAGTCAAGGGATTTTCCCTAGTAGGTCCCTCATATCTTTGCCACTCGCTTCGCTTCGCGTGACAAGTAATTACCGAGGTGGAAGAATCGAACTCGCCGCTGCGGCTACCTACGCAGCCTAGAAATTCAGTAGGACAGTTGCGGAGCTATATTATTTGCTTGTTTCTAACAAATCCCTCTCGAAAGCTGGAAAGTTCTCTTTTCAGAAGTGTCGATGGACTTTTTGGTCTGTTAGGGGCCTCGTTTTAATTCCGGCAAAGTAAGACAACTTTTTGGTCGAAATGTGAGTGGGGAAAGGACCAGAAAGTAAATCTGACGGAGGCATTGTCTCAGTTCAACGATTAAACTTGACAGGAGTAGCTTTTGTACTGGCAATAATTAAAACAAAATTGCACAACAACTTTCAATTGCAGAATTAACTGGCACAGAACATTTGACTTCACAAATCATAGCGAAATAGATATCGGCTGTTCTCTCACTGGCCGAGTCATGGCACCTTAATAGGATCGAGGTTTAAATCTTCACGCCTGCTAAGACTTTTAGCGAAGCCACCTCAGTATCTCAGTCTTGTTTAGGCATTTTTCTTAAAAAGGTAAAGCATTAAAACTGCAAACTTCTTCGCTTCCTATAAACCCAAGTGTTCTAAGCCTAAGCGTTCACTCACCGATCCCTCATCCCTGTTGTTCCAGTACATGTACACAACCTTCTCTCGGTATTCATACTCGCAAAACTTCTGATCTGCAGCGTAACAATTAATTATACTTCGAAATGTACGAGTTTTGATTTCCTGTCTCTGTTTTTCTGGTAATATACCAATTTTTTACGTGACTCAATCAGCCCTCTCAGCTTTTGGAATAAAGACAATAAATATTACAGTTGTTTTCTTCCGGTCTGTCAATCATGCATTGACACTCAAATGAAGTGATTTTTTTAAAGTGGTCTTGCTTTCCATCTTTTCTGTTTAAGTCCCTTAGCCAATTTCCATTTGTGCGTTTCGGGTGGGGGATTCTATAACCCTTTGCTTAAAGTAAATC